ACTAACCTAAACAAAATCAAATCCAGTAGTATAGAATTCTGTTTAGTTAGATCAAGGCTATTTCAACAGTCAATATACATTAGATATTCTAGAATAAATCAAATGGTCCCAATAATTGGCCCCAATTCTTAAAGTACCTTTGTTTCTTAATTATGTTTTTATCTAAATAAACTTTTTGATCAGACGGAGTTTTTTTTCACATAAGTTTAATATGAGTATTTATTGAATTTATAGTTTTAAATGGAGCTGATTACGAAAACAACATTTTTCTCGAGATCCAAGAATATTATTAATGTTTCAGATTTTGCGACTATGCAGTCCTAATGGCACTGTAGGCACGGAAACTTAAAAGATAGATTTTGTGACTCGCCGACACCTTAAAGTACTTATCTGTATTAACCAGACAGATTCCATAGAGCTCCAAGTTTCTGGAAATTGAATGTCCTTAAGTTGTAATATATGTCGGCCCAGATGAATAGTAATAAGGTACCACTTTTGTGGATTACAATAAAATACGCTACTACATATAAAAGATACTGTGTTTTAAAAACTCTTATAGAGAAATACAAATTGCAAAATCCTTGAACAAACATTCGTGTGTATATCGTAAACGTTGTTTTTTTTCACGACACGATAATAATCAGGGTGCAACTAAATAAAATCTAGGGCCTCGTGTGATGGCTTTTCCTCTTAATTTGACATTTGAAAAAGTTTGTTAATTAAAAGGTAATAAAAATCGCTCGATGTGGGCAGCTGACCTGATAATTAATTACTTAATTTGATTTATTTTCTTCTACCTATATGCTATTTACATCAATGGTGTCGATTCCGGCATGATTCTCTAAACCTAAACTTAAATTTGACAACAGTGTATCCTTGTCATTTTCTATGCAGAATGAAAAGGAGAGATTGATGTTAAATTTAGTTTTAAGTTTAAAGAATCATGCCAGAATCGACACCACTGTATTGCCAATAAACAAACAAAATAAAATAGTAAGTTAATTATGGTGTCGATTCCGGCATAATTCTCTAAAGCTTAAATTTTTGATAACAATGGTGTCGATTCTGGCATGATTCCCTAAACCTAAACTTAAATTTGACAACAGTGTATCCTTGTCATTCTCTATACAGAATGAAAAGGAGAGACTGTTGTTAAATTTAGTTTTAAGTTTAGAGAATCACGCCAGAATCGATACCAATGTATCCTTATCTTTCTCTATACAGAATGAAAAGGAGTGACTAATATTAAATTTAGTTAAGAGCATGCCAGAATCGACACTTTATTATTGTTTATAATTTTTATGTGGCTATTTACCGGCATCGATATAAAGTACTTTTAAAACATATTATCGTATTTCAACGTCGAAAGAAAGATTTTGGTGTCGAATATGGAAGCGTTCTCTAAACTTAAATTTGACAAGTGTATCCTTGTCATCCTCTATACAGAATGAAAAGGAGATACTAATATTAAATTTAGTTTTAAGCTTAGAGAACCAGGCAAGAATCGACACCTTTGTTTGGTTAAGTTATAGATCGTGAATGATCGAATATTTGTTTTTTTTATAAGATCTGTCGATGTATATTTGTTTTATCAACATGCTATTTGTATCGACAAATACACTATTAAATCTGGTTGAATATTTTCCAGTATAAAAAATACCATTCATTCATTTCATTCTTTTTTCGTCACATCACTATGAATTTCTACCTATTATTTTTGTCATTCCTTCGTGATTTCGCGCCTTTTCTTTTAATTGAATTTTATACCAGAATACTAACTTTTTAGAACCTAAAAATACTTGTATATGATAGAAAACACCATGTTTCAGCAAGATTGAAGTGGCAGATCGGTTTTTGCGTGGGAAAACAACATCATTTTCCATTTTTGTGGGAGCTCCGACTCACGCTGCGGAACGATCTAAAGTGGTAGCGGTCTCGCGTGAACTAGTTTTATATAACGATCATGGCCACTGGCCATGATCGTTTTGGCGGAGGGGTACGCCCGTCCATGCTCTCTCCAGGTATAAATGCTCTAAGCATATACACAGTCAAGTCATAAATATTATCACACAGTAAAAACTTTTCTTTTAGAATGCTGGCCACAAAAAAGTTCATTGAATTCGAATTTCGAATTGTACATGAAAATAAAAATGTATACTTTTCAGAATTTGACTCATTTTTAAATATGGAGTGGACGCTTAAAGAAGACCGTGTTGCAGTTATTGCGTTGCATCGTTGCGGTTACGCGCCAATTCAATTTTTTGACATACTGAAAAATTTGAATATAACCAAAAGATTCGATTATCCTACCATCAAACGATACAATGAAGACTCTAGTGTAGATGGCAGGTCAAGAAGTGGTCGCCCTCAGTCTGTTAGGACTCCAGCAGTGATAAAAGCTGTGAAGGCGCGAATTCAAAGAAATCCCAAACGTAAGCAGAAACTGTTGGCCTTTCAGATGGGGTTAAGCAGAACCACGGTGAAAAGGGTGTTAAATGAAGACTTAGGGCTTCGGGCATATCGAAGAAAAACAGGACATCGTTTGAATGCTCGTCTAATGGACTTGAGACTGAAGAGATGCCGCGCTTTGTTAAAGCGGAACGCGGGAAAAAAATATCGGGAAATACTTTTTCGGATGAAAAAAATTTTACCGTACAAGAGAGCTACAACAAACATAATGATAAGGTGTACGCACACAATAGTGAAGAAGTGAGCAACCGAATTCCGCGTGTCCAATGAGATCATTTTCCATCCTCGCTCATGGTATGGTTGGGAGTTTCTTATTGAGGCTTAGCTCAAGAGGTACATTTTTGTGAGAAAGGTGTAAAAACGAATGCAGTTATGTATCAAAATATAGTCCTGACGAACCTTGTGGAACCTGTTTCTCATACCATGTTCAATAACAGGCACTGGGTATTCCAACAAGATTCGGCGCCGCGCCAGCTCATAGAGCGAAGAGCACACAAGACTGGCTGGCGACGCGTGAAATCGACTTCATCCGGCACGAAGACTGGCCCTCCTCCAGTCCAGTCCAGATATGAGTCCGTTAGATTACAAGATATGGCAACACTTGGAGGAAAAGGCGTGCTCAAAGTCTCATCCCAATTTGGAGTCACTCAAGACATCCTTTATTAAGGCAGCCGCCGATATTGACATGGACCTCGTTCGTGCTGCGATAGACGACTGGCCGCGCAGATTGAAGGCCTGTATTCGAAATCACGGAGGTCATTTTGAATAAACTTTACTGTCATAAGAATTTATGTTTTGTTAAGTTTATTTTGGTATATAAATGGTTACATAATGAATAAACTTGTTTCAATTATTTTATATTAAACATGTGACAGAATTTATGACCTGACTAGGTATATGATAAACATTTTACACATTCAAAATGAGATTCACTGCGAAAGTCTTTGAATAAATTCAAAGACTGATCGCGTCTGATATTAGTAAGCAACGAGTTCCAAAGCCGAACAGCTTGTACAGCAAAGGAACAGTCATCATCATCATACCTGGTGAGGTGAACAGGCATCGTGATGAGGGTCAGATTTTTTGATAACCTAAGGGAAAGCGATAGGGAATTTTGTTGACACTTAAATAGTTCTTTGAGATAGCGCGGAGAAAAGGAATTAAACAAAATATTGTAAAGGAGTGCTAGTATGTGCGTATTCCGGCGAAGTCTAATAGGAAGCCACTTGAGCTTAGAGCGAAAATATAAACGTGATCATATTTGCGCAAGCCAAATATAAATCTGATACAGAAATTTTGGAGTCGCTCAAATTTATTTAGCTGTACCTCCGTTAAATCTGTACCAAATTTCAGCTCTCTGTGTTTATGGGAAGTACTTGTTCTATTCTGATGATCATGAGTGAGTGAGTGTCGTAAATGCGAAACCTTGCTTTGGCTTAACTTCGGAACTAAATGACCTACAGACTTGAAATTTTGGATTTTAAGTATGCTATTGTAGCTTACGGAATGACGAAAATTTCAGCGTTCTGGTCTTATCCAGAGGTTCTCAAATAGGGGCCTGAAAATGCCGCGTAATGGTTCCAGTAAAGATGGTACAGCAGTGTTTGCTTCGCGCTCGACTTGTCGGGGGCACTGCCGTGCCCACCGATTCAAGACAAACCGTCATTTTTGAGAAAAAAATGTTTTTACAGTTTTACGAATGAAAAGTGCTGCCAAGACATTTGTTATATAATTTTGAACTATTTATGTTCTTTTTAAAAGCATCGAAGGCATTACTTTATCGTTATAACACAGAATATACGCAATATTGTTATATTGAGTGTACATGCAGCGTGTTTGAATGTCCAATTGTGACTAAAGCAAATTGTGGTCATGCACCACAATTTAAGCGGATCACTTTTGGGCCGCGAGTGCCGTGTCTTCCCTTTTTATTTTAATCTAAGAACATAAGGGTGCGGCCAGAGTGCACTCAGATTCAGATTCAGATTCAGATTTCGAAAACAAGCGCGAGAAATAAACAGTGTAGTCGAAGGGTACGGCCAGATTGCACTCCTGATTTAGATTCAGATTCAGACTTAGAAAACAAAGCGCGAGAAAAAGCAGGCAACCTGCTTCTGAATCTGACTCTGAATCTGAGTGCACTCTGGCCGCACCCTAAGGGTGCGGCCAGAGTGCACTCAGATTCAGAGTCAGATTCAGATTCTGAAAACAAGCGCGAGAAATAAACAGTGTAGTCTAAGCAGGTTGCCTGCTTTTTCTCGCGCTTTGTTTTCTGAGTCTGAATCTGAATCTAAATCAGGAGTTCAATCTGGCCGTACCCTTCGACTACACTGTTTATTTCTCGCGCTTGTTTTCGAAATCTGAATCTGATTCTGAATCTGAGTGCACTCTGGCCGCACCCTAAGTATGGACCATGGTATCTGAGCCTTGTCTATGGCAATGGCGACATAAAATGACAAAATTGGTTAATATGGATATACCCAAGGCCGTTAAATTTATAATTAAAAAATTAACAAAATTGCCAAATGTCAAAAAACTGTCATCAACAAAGATCAGTCAAAATTATTTTGTTGGATTAAATGGAATAGCAGCAGCTGTTGTTTTATTTCTTTATTTGAAAAATTGGATAACATTATTGTAAGACATCAGGTAGAATTGTCTTCCTTTCAGGTCATGGTAGATATCATTAGCGTTAGTGTAGTTGATAAAAATGAAACAAAGGTAAGAAGCAATCATACGTAGTGGAAACAATGATGTGGTTGTTGTTTACGTGTAATGCAACTAAAGGCTTTATCTTATTATAGAAACCACGTTATGCAGGGAGGTGATGATATGTTCGCGCATACGAATAACAATAAATTTGAAGGCGATTCCAGCGATATTCAACTACATAAGATGAAGCCACAAGAACATTATATTGAAGCACAAGTCCAAGAAGGAGATACGTTGCAGGCCATAGCTTTGCGATTTTATTGTTCAGTAAGTGTTTAAAACATAACTGGTTTTATCTTTGATCACATAAATTTCAATAACCCATATGTATTACGAACTACCTAGCATTTGCATTAGGGAAATCAGAACTTACAAAGTATTAGGATACATCGACATATATCTTAATATGCTAGATAATATGCTTATATTGAAGATGATAGATAATAAGTTACATGGGTTTTAGATTTCAGAGTTGAAACGGATAAATCACATTCATAAGGACAATGAAATATATGCAAGGAGAACAGTCAAAATACCAGTCACGCCTTATTCAGTTTTGACTGAACGATTGCCAATGACTCACCCTGGATTTGAACCTATACCATCAACATCTGCTCATATACAAGTAAACAATTCAATACAGGAATTGATTCAACCTAGCAGCCAAAAAAGTAACAATGCAAAAGAAGAGACAAGTATCAATAATAGTGACTTTGCAATTGATTGCAATTCAGTTGTGATGAATAGCACACTATCTCCATCTTTAGTGCCTTACACTGATTCGGAGGTGACAGAGGCTGTGTCGGAAGATACTCAACTATTGCCAAATAAACAAAAAATATCCGTAGAAGCTGTTGTTGTGAAGGAACTAACATCACACGGAGCAGACCTTGGTCTCAAGTGGTTTCATCTTGTGTGTTGTATGCTTGTGTTAGGCGTTGTGATACCTATAGTATATGTTATGTTTTACTTACAGAAACCTGACCATGAACACATAAATTCTACTTCAAATAATATGTTATGATACTCAATCTGACTGAAGAGCTTTAAGCTGTGGTGGTATTTTATAAATCAAATTTATATAAGTATTTTGATAAGTGAAAGGAATGTGATTCTTGAAATAAAAATCTGAATATTTACACTTCATTCAATATTTTATTTATGTTTGACTACAGATCTATTCTCTGATTAAGTTATGAACTTTATAAAACCAATTCACAAATCATAATGGTAGGACTTTTAGTAACTTAGAACTAGTGCAGACGTTTCGGTTTTTATAATTACAGCTTCTCTCGCTTCGAATTTGTTTTTTCTTCCATTCTGAAAAGATAAGAATAGTTTGTGCTTTATTGAACATTTAGTAAGTCAGTGCATTCAGTACCCTTAGTACGAGTTTTACAATTACGAAAACTATGATAGTTTTCGTGAACACGCACTCGTAATAAGGGTACTAATTTTATTGTTTTGTTTCAATACAAAATAGTTTTTAAATTCTATCATTAAATCATTTGCGTCTTCTTGAATTTTAAGTATATTTGGTTACTTTTCACAAAAATGGGCATAGAAACATAATTTACAATTATGAAAATTATGATAGTTTTCGTGAGTTTGAACTCGTACGAATGCACTGACTTACTAAATGTTCAACGAAGCACAAACTATTCTTATTCTGAATTCCTGGTCAGGAAATCGTTGGTACATACATACATGTGCGCCCAGTCTTATTGATTGAAATTTGTTAGTGACCTATGTCATGTCAATCCATTTACCAGGTCCTTATACTTTTAGTTCAATTGCCCTAGCTAGGATTACAAACACAATAGGGTATTTGACAAGTTTTAGAAAACGATCTCACGTTATTTACTAATTTTTATGGATATTCATTATTATGTTGTGTATTTCGGCAAAAAAACTAAATCAAAAACTATTTTCAAGTTGCCGCGAAAAACGTATCTCTGGCTGGACAATATGGCGTCTCACTGGTGTGTGACGTCACACTACTGTCCCTAAAACGATTGCTAAAACGTCAAACCATATAATCTAATGTCACTTTAACCGGAAGTTTACTTGCGTGTGACGTCATTTTAGGCTGCACCAATCCCAAGCGTTTTGGGTCACGTGACAAAAGACAAGAAAACTATTATCTTTATCGTGGGTTTTTAGTAAAATTATGAATATTTTTTCCGTAAAAATAGTAAAAACTCCTTCCAATATTCATTCTAAATACAGATGCTTACAACTGGCACTTTATTTTTAATACTGTTAAATACCCTATTGGTCTATCTAAATTGACTTACTAATATTATAAATGTAAAAGTTTTTGAGTTTGTAATACCAGCACTTCACTTGGGTATTAGTATTTGGTATTTTTATACTTGACAACAGTGGTTGCTTTCCAATTACAGCATTATAGCGCATTATGCGGCATAATGCTTTACGTTGAGTGTTCCAACTACAGCAACGCTTCGCACAATTGAGCACTCTCAGAAGTGATGCTTTCGTGTGATACGTGCAATCGTACCAACTTAGAGACAGAAAATTAACAAGTGTTTTTTCTGTAAGTTGGCATAGATCGAAATGTTTTATTTATATGTTATCGTTAGTAATATTATTTATTGTTGAAAAATTATTAAAGCTTTCGTTTCATTGAATAGTTTTTTTTAAATAATCAAAGTTCATTCAAACTGTTAAAAAATAAATATAAGTATGGATGAAGGTACAAACATTGACTTTTTTTTCAACACTGAACTTAGCGCACTCTGCTGGTGCATTTGAAAACTAATTCACGTTCCAATTAAGCATCAGCATAATTCGGCATTGTGCGGCACTGAGTCGCATTATGCTCTGTAATTGGAAAGCAAATAGCCAAGTGAAGTGCCGGCATTATTCGATCACAAAAAACCGCTGAACGGATTTGGGTGAAATTTAATACACATAGTTTATGACATGGAATGAGATAAAACGATTTGTTCATCCCGGAAAAATGTTAGGTCCGTGTGGGATTCTCAAAAAACTAAAGATACCGCTACTATTTCTATAAATCTATTCATAAATATTACGTGGTATGGTTAGAGTACATTTTATTATTTATTGTATTAGTGCCTCGAAAGCGACGCGGTCGTTTAAACGAAATTTACTGTACTTAAGTATATTGCAGTTATATAGTACCTATGCTATTATTAGGCACAAATGTCATATTTTTCCAGCTGACTGCTTACTACAGAAGTTGTGCATAGCATAAAAATATAGTGTAGCGTAAACTTCAATGTACGCACGTGGCCGAAATGATAGTTTGTTCTGCCCGCCTAGCATGAATACCGCGATATGATACATAACGCGTTTTTATCACGCTCACTCAATTGTCGAATTACTATGCAGCTTGACGCGATAAAAAACGTGATATAAAATAAATTGTGGTGCTCATGCTACAGGGACTGGGCGAGGCGGTACCCTTTATTCCTATTACGTAGGTACTTGTGGTACATGTCTATTAATAGACATGTACCACATAATAATATTACCTACTCATGTGCTCGTTGTGATAAATTTTTGTGCAAATGAGCTCGGGATAGGCAACACGCAGCTTTATACTCTAGTATTGCAATCGTGTAGACGTAGACAAATATTTTTAAAATTATTAAGAGCAGCATTACAATATTTTATGTTTTCTATGCTTTTTCCTGCAATCCATAATAAATATTATAAAAAGGAAAGTGTCTATCTGTTACCTCTTCACGCTTAAACGGCTGAACTGATTCAGATGAAATTTGGTAAGATTTAGTTTCGGAGTCTCGAGAAAGGAAGTTTTTACCTCCGAATTCATCCTTAAAGGGGGTGGGGAACTTTGTATGGGAAACCAATTAAATGAAGCAGACGAAGTAGGGCAACTACTAGTAAAAACAAACTGCAGTGGCTGGTTTACCAACTACAGCCCAAACTACACATTTTATTATAAAATACATCCAATGAAACCAGTTTTCACAAAATAAACTTTTTATTTGAATTACATTTCCTATTTACTTAAAAATACACCAATGTAACAAATTATGAGAATACACACCATTATTACACATCTCTTCATAATTCGTAATGATAAATGCAATTAAAGTTCATGTGAACCTAGGCCAGACAACTTTATATTCTCTATTTGTTTTATTAAACTATTCCGATAGTATTATAACATAAAATAATTATATCCTCGACAATTTTACTATTAGATCAATTGTTTGTCATCAAAAGAATAATGATGAAGTTCTTTGTAGTTTTAGGCCGCACTCAGACACGTCAACTATTTTTAAGCTTCATTAAAGTTGATGTTCTTTTTTCAATTTAAGATAGGAATACAATAAAACAACACGTCACTTTAAATGCGAGCCTTAAATTTAATTGATGTCCGTGAGTACGTCCGTTAAACTTTGATAGTTGCATAAGTGATAAAATAACTTTAGGAATTTTGTTGAATAGAGTTGCGCTTTATTATTTAATTAAAGTAACGAACTAACCGTTACAATTAACAATTTCGAAATAGCATTATATTTATATGCTCATAAATGTGCCTATTCGTATAATTCATCCTTAGAAAATTGGAATAAATTAACATGCATACTTTAAAGTAAAAATATTAGGTTTATACAAATTATCGTTAATCTTCATTATGTAAAAAGTTTCATAGTAAAACATTTTCGAGATATTGAGGTGGCTAACGTAAATCTTTCTTTTATTAATATAAATTGGCTATTGAAATCAGAAGTTTCCACGGCCGTGGTTTAAGTTGCTCTCGTGAACACTGAAAAAGAAAGCAGGCGCTGTAAATCTTGTCTTATGAAATGGGAGAAGTTAACTATGTAAAACAAGAAGGCCACAAATGCAAAAAACATAATAGAGAATATTAAACATACAAGTTAGTAGACAGAAACAAGAGCAGCATGAGGAATTCTTCAACTGATGTGCGCGCAAGTGTTTTGTAGGTAGATTAGTGATTCCTTGTTAGCCAATCAAAACAACAAAATCACTAGTCTTCCATACAACGCACCGCAAAAAACACCCGACGCCTGTTAGTTGACACCTAGAAATTTCTTGTTATACACAAAACACAATACATGTTATGTTAGTCATAATGTAATAATGGTTAATACATGGATTAATGAATATGGAACAAATAAACTCTTCATGACCGGTTATTTCACCAATTTTAATGTTGAAAATATGTAATTCCTTTTTAATAGTGTCATAAAGAAGCTTCAAATCATTACAATATCAGTTTGAAACAGCTGGTCATAAAGCAAATGATTTATGTACCTACTAAGTATATTTAATAATGAACTATTTAATTTTATAACAAAAAAATATGGTTCTACCTACTAACTGCAGAATGTTAATTTATATTTCTTACATCATTACAGAAGTCTGATAGGAAAATACACACAAACTACCAATGTTTATTTAATTTGTTACCTGCATAACACTACGTTATCGACAGCTAATCCTTATGTTTATTTTAAATCTTAGATTTGTTTGGGGCCAATGCAGGGAATTCTTCAAACATTCTAGCGCCAAAAAATGTTGTGTTAGTAATGATAATTTATTTTAAGAAATACAAAAATCCATATCTAAGTATTTCTTTTAAAAACAAATATTTAGTGGGGATGTGATTGTTATTTCGGCAATGTTGTATAGATACATGCTGTCGATAATGTCATTAATATGAATAAATGTTATTATTAATGAAGTTTTCAAATGCAACATGATGCAAATGTGTAATTTCAATAAGTTTTTAACAAACATTAATATAACATCACATCTATGAAATCCAGATATACTATTTGTTCTGTTCTAGAACAATTACGGCTAATTAACGATATTAAAAACCCTAGATACACCACGAGCGCTCAAAATGAGTCCCAATGAAGAAGTACTTGAACACGACTCAAGGACTTCTTGGTATACAGTCACGCGCGGACCATTGAAAAGTCCACATACCGCTGAGCTCCGGTAAAAAAATGCGAAAAAAATACTTAAAGAGTATGACGTGTCGTATTTTCCACAGGTACCTATTAAATTTTTGTTAATTAAACGCAATTGAAGGGCGAAATTTTCTTCTAATACTTAATATAAATTGATTTAATAGAAAATGTTTGTGACATTCAAATGCATGGTCGGTTATATATATAGCAGACTCCTGTCCTCGCGCTCTGTAACTGCTACAGGCTAACAGCGCATTCAGAATTACGTGTAGAATCAAAGAAATAAAGTTTATATTCTTTTGCCTATAGCAAAGTCTTAAAATTTTACGACATTGCATTTCGAACTGTCGTAACTGTTTCATGCATGCGTTTAAATTAAGACCTTATATACTATGTATTAAAGGTGACTTTCAATGTGTAAATAATGCCTTATATTGTTTTTGACTACGCGATCATCTTACAGAGCTCCATGGATCGTCCAATGTACCTTTTGGATAGGTTTCGGCTACGATTTTGTTCGTGTTGTTGTATCTAGGGTATTAAATATTGTTGCGGCCAGTTTCAATAATCAACCTAGTAGAGCTATGTTGCCCGGATTTAGATTAAAATAAAAACTTTTGCCAAGAAACACAACCAGATTATCCATAACTTTTACAGGAGGTTAATTTTTGAAACTGGCGATTTGTTGACTGAACATTTTTCTACAGTAATTTCGAGTTTGTAATGGAACCACCTGGACCGAAGATGATGAAATTTGGTGTGCCCGGACTGTTTAGACCAGGGGGCCATTCGCTTAACGGAAATGCTTTGGAAAACGCTAACGCTTACGATTTCATTTTGTTATTTCTAGCCGCCTGAGGTTTTCAAATGCCTCGCGCTCTTTTTTTCCTTTGCATTGGTAATAACAATATTAAAAAAAATGAGCGTGAGGTATATGAAAACCTTCGGCGGTCAGAAATAACATAATAAATCAAAAGCGTTAGCGTTTTGCATAGCATTTCCGTTAGGCGAATGGCCCCCAGATGGGACATAGGATTAGTCCATATTTTATCAGGCAGTTCAATGGCTATCTAGGACACTAGTTACTATATAATTATGAACATACACAGTTTCACCCGACAGTACACGAGTTTGGCAGTTTTTATTAATAATCTTGGATAGGCGATGTAAAATAAATAAACACAGATGACGTCTTCCACATAACCAAACAGACAAAAGAATTCAGCTCTTATTTTAATACGCGTTCGGGTAACTCGATTTATAAGTCAGCTCATGTGACGTGCAATTAATTCCACGATTTCATTATCTACTTGATTTTGTGTTACATAATTTTTCAATACGAAACTTTTGTTATAGATCCATAAAATAATAATGAACATAGAAGGAATGCTAACATAAAAGCTGTTTGGCAAGATCGGTGCTGTCATGTAGTGTCAAACGCGTGTAAGTGAGACAATAGATCACACTTTATTAAACTTTTTTCTTGAAAATTGTCGAAGTCTGAAAAAAGTCCAAGCTTTGATAATACTTTTTAGTTAACTTTATAATATTTGGATATTGAAAAGCGTTCAAGAGAGACACTTTGTTTGTTTCAAATGTTTACTGTTTTAACATGGAATGAGTGAGCTTTTATCGTATTTTTACTAATTGTATTTTAATTAATTTTTTAACGTCACAACACTATTGTCTACTGCTTACGAAACGACGAAAGGTATGTGCAATATCTTTTCCGCACATTATCGAGCTTATTGGTGAAAGAACGACGGACCGAATACATATTGTTGCGGTTTTGCCGTTCCCTCTATGTAAATTTTTATTCTAAGGATAGACTTATCTAGGTTTATAAATAATTTACCTCTGCTGCAGTAGATACTGCGCCATCTATGTGTGCTACGGGGTACCGGTGATGGTGATGATGCGGTCGCTGGACCGGGATAAAGGTTCAGCGATCTCGATACATAGACATGTTATATATAGACACCCATTATAGCATATATGATTCACCTCTGCTGTAGTAGATACTGCGCCATTTGTATGCACTGCGGGGTGCCGGTGATGATGCGGTCGCTGGACCCGGGTAAAGGTTCAGCGATTTCGATACATAGACATATTATGTTATATATAGACATCTATTATAGCATAAATGATTCACCTCTGCTGCAGTAGATACTGCGCCATCTGTATGCGCTGCGGGGTGCCGGTGATGGTGATGATGCGGTCGCTGGACCCGGGTAAAGGTTCAGCGATTTCTATGCGAGCGCCGCTTTCTGCGCGAATCTTGCGAATGCGAGAGCCTCCTTGGCCGATTATGGCGCCGGCTAACTGCAATTATTAATGTGGTGGTGGAATAACTTTCGATTTGGGCCTAAGTGCAGGATCCATATAAATGTTAGGCCCGTATTAATAGATCGTTTTCGACTCAGACTAAGATCTTGATGATGCTGCTTTGTATAAAAATACTGTTTTCAAGATCGATCTCAGATTTGAAAGCGATCTATTAATACGGGCCTTAGTAAGCACTAGAGATGCGCCGAATGTAGGTTCAACCGAATATTCGGTCCAAAATGTACCGAACCGAATCGAATTCGGCCGAATCTTTCTTGTTCGAAACTTTTTAATAATATTTTTTGTACTTTGTAGGAAGTACCACGTACAATGCTTTTACATCTTTCACATGTTGAGCCAAAACCTAATTGTTTTCTTTTTATTGTCGTCTGTGGTGGGAAAGCGTGTGCTATTGCCCAAAATCAAGTTTTTTTTAATGCATAATAGGCAAGACGTTTGACCACAATCTCGCCTGATGGAAAGCGATGATGAGGCCTAGGATGCTACACGACTGCCTAGAAGATGCCTGTTCGCTCTGGTCTTGAAAATGTCCAGATTATATTGGTCTGGGAAATAAAAAATAAATATTATTTCTTATTTTCTTTGTTTTATAATAAATTTGGCCATTTTTTATTGAAAATACACAATAAGTCTGCATTATTCATGGCACTACAGTCATTAATGATGGTCTGTAATATATATGAAATATTTTTCTGCCCGAGCGCGATGGAAAACACGTACACAAATCCACCCTGCGCGGGGGCGAGGGGTAGGATATTGTTTCATCGGCCATTTTTTTGACAACTCGCTAGCGGGGGCTACTTTCTTTTTAACGTTTAACTCTTGACAATTTGACATTTGTTGCACCTGGATCGTAGTTTTTGAACGTAGCCGCTGTGTATTTTGTGTACGACAGCCACATGAGCAGTAGACGGCGTGTGTAGAGAAACAGGTTTCAGAGATACAGTTTTGTTTATGTGTTTTCGTCGAATGTTTTCAAAAAACTTTTGCTGGGGACTAGCAGAGGCGGTAATAGTGGAACTATTAATTAAAAGTTAATAGTTGAATAAATCAGATAAAATTAATGGTTCAAAATATCAGTTGATATTTTTATTCAAATACAATATAAGAATATTTTTCACAAGTTCATTTATTGTCAATATTTTTATAAATTCGTTCTATGATTGAAATTATTCATTACGACAATTTTATCAGTCACTTAAATTTATCTATACGAATTTACTCTCGCGTTAAAATCAACATGTTTTGAATGAATATTTTTATTTGATATGGTTGAAACTATTTATCGTACGGCTGAAACAATTTTGTATTGGTTAGATTTAATAGTTGATCAATATATTCAACAACACTACTGGAGACCCAGCTTAAATCGTACATCTATCTATACATACATATAATGAAATGGTAGGAAAGTCAAAACTGTACATTGAATATTTCCTTAAAAGAATACTTGGGGTGTGATCTACAATCGATACCGAAGCTAAAAATATAGTTTTTAGAAATTTTGTCTGTTTTTCTGTATGTATGTCCAGGATAAACTCAAAAAGTACTGCATGGACTTCAAATTTGGCATGAATATTACTATGAAATCGGGTCAACATATAGGCTACATATTATCACGCTATCGCCCACGGGGAACGAGCAGTGAACCTTTATTTCTTCAACGCATTCTGTAACAACGTGTAATCTAAATACTCATATTTGAATGTTATCATGTTAACCATGCTATAAGCTAGCTTCACACTATAAGTAACTTAGGCCGATAAACAGAACAGACAATTTTAAAGCAGCGCCATCTATGAGATTTCAGAAACATCAAGTCGAAATACATGTGTCCTTTTGGGGTCAAAAACTATGATGTGCCAATAACTAACTCCACGCGCAAGAAGTCGCGGAAGACCGCTACTATAGGTATATGTGTACTCAGGAGGCTGCGGAGAGAGTACGCGAGGAACAGGCCCTCGCGGGCTCTCTCCGCAGTCGTAGGAGGGGAAGGAGAAGACGGCGGGCGCATCTCTTGCCACCCTAACACAAAGAATGGCCCTAGTCAGGGCAGTGGGCGGAAAGGTCCTTTTTAGGACCAGAGGAGCGTAAACCCCTTCAGGGCTCAGATTGGGGAAACGGTCCATTTGCTAGGACCAGGGGAGTTAGGAGCATCACCCCACAGTGATCTTTATCACTGCCATTAGAGTTAGATGCTCAAAAGGCCCTTCTGAGGGCCTAGGGGGGGTAGGAGAGGGACGGAGAGATACGCTCTCCCTCTCACTCCTGCGAGAGCCGCGAGTACAGTCTGTCCTGGAGGGGGGGGGGGGGGGGGGGGGGGGGGGATAGGCTCGCATTGCACAAGCTCTATGGATGCTGATGCCCCTGATGCTCCGGGGCATCTTCATCGGGGTCACAAACACCTGGCGGGTGCGCAGCCATTCGGAAACGGGTTCCTTACGCGCGACCACACCCGCCCTCTCGGCACGCACTAGGGGGACCGCGGTCCTCATAGTGCGTGTCGGGTGACGGTGCAGGAGTATTGTCTGGTTTTTAGTGGCCCTGTTCAGGGCGCAGGTAGGGCCCTGTTCACATCAGCGAGCTCCAGGGCTGGCTGAAGAGGACAGGGAGGATTCGCAAATAACTTCTTCTCGCTCCCCTAGTGGTTGAAGGATGCATAAGGCATTTTCCAGAAAAAAAAAGGTACATGTGTACTCACGTCCACGGGTATGGTGACCTGTGTGGAGGTGTCCTGCTGCCCTCCCCCGCCGCCGTTGTAGTTGCCGCCGCCGCCGCCGCCGGAGTTGCCGCGCGCGCCGTCGCCGCGGAAGTTGCCGCCGCCGCCGAATCCGCCGCCGCCACCGCCACCACCGCCGCCGCCGCCGCTGCCGCCGAAGCCGCCGCGCGGGGGGCCGTTGAACCCGCGCGGGCCGGGCCCGGGACCGCCGAAGTCGTTGAACTGAACGACGAAAATATAAATATTTAAATATTTCCAACGCTCACACCAATTAGCCTAGCCCCAAAGTAAGCACTGTAAGGCTTGTGTTATGGGATGCTAGGGTAACGGATAGAATACATATACTGTACATATAATTATATTTATATAGAAATACATATTAAACATCCATGACTGGAGTACATATGCTCATATTCATCACACAAACATCTGCCCCCACCGGCATTCGAACCCGGGACCTCTCGAGTCGACGACACCATGAAACCCAGAGTACAAACCACTCGGCCACGGAGGTCGTCATAAAAAAATCCGGACAAGTGCGAGTCAGACTGCACACGAAGGGTTCCATACCATTATAATATTTATAATTATGTATAAATATTAGACACTTTATTATAATATCGAGTTAAAAACGGCAAAAAAACTATTTGTTGTTCGGAAGCCCCCTAAAATACTTATTTTAATTTCAATAAACTTCAAAAAGGTTATCTTGTAATCTACTAGCAAAGAGCTACATTCCATTTTTTTTTTTTCAAAATTCAGGCGCCTACTTCGTCTTATCTAAGGGTCCTGTCGCCCCCCGACAGGTGAATTTTCATCTATTTTCTTAAATTATTTTTTAAACTTTTCATTTCACATTTTGTAAAATAATATGCCCTTTCATTTAGATAGATTCGGTACAGTTGGTAAATATATATTTTTTTTATTCACCCCCAAAAGTAACTCCCATATTCGGGATTTGCCGTTGTAGAGGTCTGTTGTAGATTGATGACCAGCTGTATTATAATTCACCCTAAAAAACCCTGCGAATACCCTCTAAGCTGCTTAGTGCAAAGCCGTGAGATCCCCGTTTAGGGATTCTTCCGCGTTTCCGCATCCAACAGCCTCCCGGCCTAGCCGGAGCTCCACAGCAGGGGTCTCCCGAGGTAGTGCGGGGACCCCGCAGACGTCAGCAGGATGGCCCGCGCGTGGAGGTTGAATACGCGGCCTAGTGCCCACCGTACCGCCCCCCGTCCGCTGCGGAGGGCTAGCTACTAAGAGGCCACGGGAAGGGACAGAAGGGACTATAAAAATCGATATTTTGCTGTCAATATAATCGATATACCCTACCTATGATGTAATAGTACCATGTTACTCACTCAACTACCGCATATGCACTGGACCCGCGTGGTAGTTCACGGCCCAATCTCCTTATTCCATCCATAGGGAAGCCCTCTGCCCCAGCAATGGGGACATTAATAGGTTGTTGATAATGATGTTACTCACGTCAGCATTAAACCCAGAACGAGGCCCCCTCGCAACACCCAGGGGCGGACAGCCTATGATAAAATAGTACCATGTTACGCACTCACCTGCCCTACCATGTGGAGCCCTGGAAGATTACTCACGGACAGTAACAACACCATCGCGCTCCAATTCGAATGGAAAATCTGCTGTGCTCCATCTCTCTTGATTATGATGATACTCACGTCAGCGTTAAACCCAGCGCGTGGTCCGGGTGGGCCGCGGTTCATAGTGGGAGGCCCGCGAGGTCCCCGGGCTCCCCCCAGAGGCGGGCGGCCGGGGCCCCCACGCGGGGGAGCCCTGGGTCCTCCGCGTCCGCCCGCACCGCCGCCGCCGCCGCCCTGACCGCCACCGAAGCCGCCATACTCGTCCGCGTAGAAGTCATCGTAGTTGTGCGGGTCGTAGTTCTCGATCGCTCCCTTGATGGGGACCTGTAAAATTAGGGAACCACATGTAACTACGGTTAGAAGTATAGTGCGACAAGGATATATGTATATTAATGTGGCAAAAATTGGAACAAACGCCGCCGTCTTTGTAAGCGTCATATTTTGTATGTCATTTACTTAGACAGTGTGGAATTTTCTAAACTGTCACTCGCATTTATAAAGACCCTTGTCGCACTGTAGTGACAGAAACAGACAAGATTTGTGAACAAAATTACATAAAATAATTTCCGTGTATTAACAAATCGTAAAAATCATAGCGACTCCATAAGGATTTCTTATATACACGGTGAAACAAAAAAAAAAGGGACAATTAAAGTTGCAATGATTAATAACTTAAGATATCATAATTTAATAATTAAATTTTTGAAAATCATATACAAGTTATTCTGATGGTAGGTTTCTGTTTAGGTAGACATTCATAAATTTAGTATTTGTATAAAAATAACGATTCACTATCGATCAGTGTGCCTAAAGAGAGTTTTATGACTCTCGGCCAACATAAACAATAATCTAAAATTATCTTGTTTTTATAATGATGCTACTCAAGGACCGTGCTTCGGAAGGCACGTTAAGCCGTTGGTCCCGGCTACATCTGCAGTCATTAGCACCCGCCAATCATGTCATGGCCCAATCTCCGTATTCCATCCATAGGGAAGGCCTGTGCCCCAGCAGTGGGGACATTAATAGGCCTATGATGATGATGATACACTAACACTACTATACTATGTATATTTAATTCACTCTGAGACAAAAGTTAAATAAACCATAGAAAGGTTTTTCTATAGGTCGAATTTCATACACAAATAAAATCATATACAAAAAGGTGAAACGGATTTATAACTGTTCAAAACGTGTTTCATGTAAAAAAAAGAGATTAAAAAGACGTATCGTATATACTACTAAATTGAAGAGTACTGATAAAAAAATAATTTACTTTGCAATGTGAAATTTGTAACCAGTCTGGGCACACCAGCCAACTTTGCTCTCAATAAAAAAGTTTTTGTCTCAGACGAAGTTGAATAGAGTATTGTATATAATAAGGTCTGTTGGAGTGTTTATCGTTTAACGCATCACGCACCTGTCGTATGAGGTCGAGCACCTCTCGCACGCCGGCCGCGACCGCGTCGGCCTTGCCCACCAGCTGCACCACGCGCTCGGAGCTCTGCGGCGCCGGGGAAGAGAATATCTTCAGACGGGCACCGGTTTTCTGATCGAAACACAATATGCTTTTTTAAAACAATAAAAATCAACCGGTGATGATAAAGCACAACCGCACACATAAATGTTCCCTTTTACAAAAATAAAGGAGCAATAAATCTACTCAAAAATTATTTGTGAAGTTTATCGAAATAAACAATATTAATACCAAAGTCCTAAAAACTATGAAAAACTTGGTCCTAATTTGTTTTATAACAAATCACTGTAGGCTTAAAATAATAAGCTGATCAGACTTGAGACAAGCAACAAAGTATATAGAGTAGGAAAGAGAAAAAGGAAAGGAGAACAACAGGAAAAGGTTATAGAGTATATTTACTTTTACAAGATTGAAAGTATTTACACAAAAATAGAGAATGGGCAAGTGTGAGGATGTGAAGTGTAGAGGACGTGGATCGTCGGCGATATTCAAGAAACTTGAGGGTTTGAAGGTCGGGAGGTCGTGCAGTTGACAGATGCGCTTAAGTCTCGGCCGGCGAAGTGGTAGGGCGACCTGCTGGTGGAACGGCAGACAGCTGGTAGACAGGCCGAAGCAGCTGGAGACAGGACGATGCTTCTGGAGTCCACGCGGCAATAGGGGTCCGCCGTTATGGATGAATGTGGAGTAGTTTGCTGCCGTACCACTTTTAAGTGTTTGCTGGAGTCCCGGGGCAGCCGGCCCCGTGAAAGGGCCTTTAAGTAAATCTGGAGAAGCTCGGTAGCGAGCCAACAAGGAGCGAGCAGGATATGGAGAAATGCACCCGCCAATCCGCACTGGGCCCGCGTGGTGGGTCATGGCCCAATCTCTCCATTCCATCCATAGGGAAGGCATGTGCCTCAGCAGTGGGGATATTAATAGGCTGAGGACGAGGATGATGATTTAGAAATACCGGTAAGCATCCAGCACTCTGGAAAAACGATTTTGGTAGTATACTGATACGTATTTACAAAACGATAAATAGTGTGTGATATTTTTGAAATTGTTCGTTTCCAGGAATGAATAATAAAAGATATGTATACATAAAGGCAGTATGCTGAAATTGATGACTACATGGATGAAAAGATCTGAAATGGAACCTATGATCGCTAAATAAAAGAATTGTCCCTGAGGTACGTTACAAAAGCAATATAAGAATAATCCTTTGATTTTTGCAAATGAATAAAATTAAACTATTTCTGATTGATTTCCTGACAGGCCGACCGAGGACAGTAAATTATTTGCATTTATTATTGCTTTAAAAAACTTTTCGTGAAGTGTTAATCAGAGAAATGGAAGGTAATATTCCAAGAAAATGGCTCTGTAAATAATTGGCAAAATCTTTTATCAAATGTAGCAAGGTATTGACGTAGTAGAAGTATTCATATTTTTCAGTATTGTAACGTTATCTAAAGTTTTGGAGCCTATTTTCATAGAAATTATAGGTAAATATTCAGCAATATATATTACTTAGTCCAATTAAATTTTACCATTTCATTTCTTACATAAAACCTCAATTGGATATATCATACTGAGATCATACTCAAGACATTTTTTTCATATTTATGACGGGGTCACTCATGAGGGCGGCGACAGCGGAAGACAAGAAAAACCATCGTGTGTAATAAAAAAATAGAAATCATATAGAATTATTGTGTCAAATCTCGTTTTCTTTCGGAAACCAAACGAGTCTTAAGTTTTTGAAAAAAAAAATGATTAGAAAACGTTCACTATTATTATTATTATTAACAAAAAAGTCAATTCATAAGCGGTTGATATTGAAAAAACAGTACATATTAAGTATTTTTAATCAAAGGAATAGCTCTGTAAAACACGTTTCCAAGGCCGTCAGTCACCTGCGTCCGGTTGTACACTTTAGATGTTCTCAAACTTTCTGTCAATATTTTTTTTCATCATTAATCAATATATAATTATAGCTCGTGAATTAAAATGCTAAAAAAGAAAGGAATTAATGGATTTCACGCGAATAACATACGGGAGATCAGTTCACATTAAAGTTAAATTAAAAAGTATAGGTCGCAATGAGGCTTGTAAATTTTCATTAGGTAAAATTAAAAAGTTGAGGCATTACTCGAAGTTGTTGCAGAGTTCCTTTCATTTATAAAAGATTGATATTATGTGAGAGATCATTTACAATGTACAATCAATTTCAGACACTGCCTGCTTCAAAGGCTACAATAGGTTTCATAATAAACTGATAAATTTTAAGATTCATACCAGTGACTTATTTATATCTGATTGTATATTATAAAAAGTAATAATAACTATGCGAAATAATATAATGCTCTTTTCAAAGGAGCAAGACAATACATAATCATTACGCTACGGCGTAGCGTATTCAAACCGTTGCTATCATAAGAAGGCTTTCGTAGCAAGGAACAAAGAATAAACAATTTCCGTACGGATTCGATCTGCCAATCGGATTTTCTATATTATCAAGGGAATTCTTTTTTCCTTTTTCTTGATTTCTAAGAGGTAGGTTACACGATCAGTTTGGCATCAGTTCAGTCCATCAGTCTGGTAAGATTGACGCTAGACTGATCGTGTAATGCGTTGACTGATGGACTGATAGGTCGGATTGACAGAATTTTAAATATTTTGATATTTTACATCAGTCCGGAATGGACTGATGGTAAACGTGACACGTTGCCGTCAGTCTTCCGTCAGTCACCGCTCGGACAGCGATGGATGAACACGTTGAAAATGCGTACGCGCCGCCTGCGCCTTTGGTCTCCCCGCCACGAAGTCCCGGGACGTCCGGGGACTTCGAGACTTTCAATAATAACATTTGTATTGAGTTACTTTCTGGTAAAACGTTTTAATAAAAAGGCACTTTTAAGTAAAAATCAATATTTATTAAACATAAAATAATAAATAATAATCATAGTAACAATCATACTAATTCTTAATAAGTATTATATATATAATACTAGCTGTCCCAGCGAACTTCGTACCGCCATAAAAAAATAGGGGTTGGTGGTAGAAGGGTGAAAATTTAGGGTTGTATGTATTTTTGTATGATGCAGATATCAAAAAAAACACAAAAAAATGACCAAACTGAACCACCCTTAACATTTAGGGGGAAAAAAAATATATGTTGTCAGATTCTCAAACCTACTGAATATGCATATAAAATTACACGAAATCGGTCGAACCGTTTCAGAGTAGTTCAATTAGGCACACCGTGACACGAGAATTTTATATATTAGATTTAGTATTTGGTCCTAATGATAATATTCGTAAGTGTCATAATCACAGATTTGTTTTGTAATACGACGACCGGCGTGGTCGAGTGGTTTGTACGCCGGATTTTATGGTGTCGCCGACTCGAGAGGTCCCGGGTTCGTCTCCCGGTGGGGGCAGATGTTTGTGTGCTGAATACGAGCATTTGTACTCCAGTCATGGATGTTTAATATGTATTTCTATATAAATATACTTATAATATGTACTGTATATGTATTATATCCCTTACCCTAGTATCTCATAACACAAGCCTTATACCAGCCATACACACTACGAGAAATCGTTACGATTAGACTGTACCGTCCGAACGGTACCAATAAATCGTAGCGTGTATGTTATAAACTGCACAGTGTCCTATACGTACGCCACGTACGATAAACTATTCCGTTCGAACTGTACAGTCTGATCGTAACGATTTCTCGTAGTGTGTATGGCTACCATTACAGTGCTTACTTTGAGGCTAGGCTATTTGGTGTGTTATTTATAAAAAAAAATATAAATAAAATAATCAAAATAAAAAATAGACTTATAATGCAGTCTTATACATAAATTAACAAATTAAAATTCAGAAATTAAAATCATAATCCAAACGTCACAGAACAAATATAATGTCGGCGCGGCAGACTCATTTATAATAATGTGTGTAGTAGATTTTTAGATTGATCCATGCCTTTTACGTAATACGTTCACATGCGGGTAATTTCTTGGGAAGACTGTCATCAGTCTGAACTGACCGTGTAATCTGTCCATCAGTCTGGACTGAACTGATGCCAAACTGATCGTGTAACCCACCTCTAACGGTTTTCTTGGTTTCACAAGTGATTTATTTGGCTAAATACTTTATTTACATTCGTCAAAGTATTATCAGTCTACCGATCTCCTACAGTTCCCAAATGTTAGCCGGTGGCACTCAGAAACAATTATTATTAATTTTGATTAAAGTTATTGCTGTCGCTTTATTCATGATGACAATAGAGTAAGACAACAGGTCAATGATAAGCATTAAAATTAATTAACATCTCTGACTGCGCCCACATTTTAAATAAGATTAAGTAGGTAACTACCAGTAATATTAAAACTGTATGGTTCGAAAATTAACTCCAACCCTTTCACAGAATTATAACATTTATATATAAGGTTTAATAACGAAAATGATTTTAGAGATTTGGAGGACTAAACGTTTGAAAATACCTTTATATTTCCTTTAATTGTATTAATTAGGTAATAGAACTTCGAATTGATGAATATTTTTGGTAGATATAGTTATTTCTCTATTTCAAAAGAACTTATTAGATAATTAAATATATTTAAAAAAAATCTTATTGCCTGCAGGCTATAAAAATGTACAAACATAAAAAATATTTAATGACGAACAGGTTATTTTCCTACACGCCAGTCTCATAAAACCTTATTATCCGACAGCCACAATGAGGGGAACATATTAATATTCTATGTCTGTAGTAAACTCAGCTGATTTGTGGTAAGTAGAAATTATCATGCAAACCGGAGAAATTTTCAAGACATGGCCGACTCCGTTATTGTAAGAGAGCGGGTTGGGTTCGATAGTTGTGGTGCGCTGATGTATTTATCCATCGTGGTGGGTGGGTGGCTGGTTGGTGGTAGCTATAACCTATAACTGGTGGGTAAGTAAAGATCGATGTGTGGGCAATTATTACCTATATTTGTTAAGGTCGCCGACGTCACTGCGGGGTGTATCTGGCGGTGACGTTTGCGAGGGCGCAAGCGCCGACCCATCGACCCGCGCACGTGGCGCGACACGCACAAACAACGCCTTCCGCCGCTGCTGCCTCCGCCGCCGCCGGCTCACAGGACACTGACACCGATATACCGACACCGCACATATTGTACACCGATTATACAACATCGTACTTGAGAAACATTAGTATTTTTATTATTTTGAAATCCACTTTTATTTTTATTACTTTGATGTTGATGACTTTGAGGAATGAAGTACGTAAAGTTTGTCGAGGTAGAAGACGCGAAGGGTGCGACCATCCCCGTGGACGGGTGAGCTTGAAATGAGCGGTGGTTCGCGGTGCGGCTCGCTTGCACCACCTGCCGCCTGTCGCCCGCGCCCTGCACTTGTGGGGCTCCGCGGACGCCTCCTACCGAAGTCACTTTCCGACCATCTGTCACCCCCGGATCTTTGTATGCCGCACTCGTCGTTTCAAACGTAACATTACTTTTGCGTAAATAACTTTAGACACAGCCGTTCGAGCCGTTTCGAGCTTAAAGGATATTTACGCTTTTTTATCTGGAAGGCCCTGAACTAGTATGCAAAGCGAGTTATTTCTTTAGTAATTTTGCAAACGGTTGGTAAGAAAAGTTTTTAGCGAATAGTCAAATGTAATCGTTTTAAGTAGAGCACTCAAATAGCACAGTTTGAAAAATAAGGTAGCAATTGTTGGCATCTGTATTTAATGTGAATATTAGCAGCGATTTTACTATTCTGAAAGAACAAATAATAACTTGTCTATAAAATCATTCAATAGAAATGATTTTTTTCTGCATGGTCGCGTGCACGAAACCGCCTGGGATATGCCAAAACTAATATGACGTCACACGCTAGTATACTTCCGGCTAAAGTGACATAAGGGTCTATCGTTTGACGTTTGAATGACATTTATGTGACGTCACACACTAGTGCGACGCCATAATGTCCAGAGAAACATTTACGCGGCAACTTTAAAATTGAATTTTTAATTTTTTTTTTTTACTGAATTACTCAACAGAATTAATAATATTCACTTATTATGGACTCCATAAACATTAGTTAATAACATGAGATCGTTTTGTAAAACTTGTCAAATACCCTATTGGCATACTCAGGTCAGATCCATTATAATAATTACATATACTTCGGAAGTTTGACGGGAAAAAAGGTAAACCAGCAATGATTTATGATTATGATAAAATCAATGCAAATAATGTCTTCTCCCGAGGTTTTATCAATAACAATCAGTTATGCGTATCCGTCAGTTCAACGATACACACTGTAATGTATGTATCGACGTTTTAACATTGTCTTTGTCACAGCAGCGGCAACGGGTCAGACAGGCAGGCGTGGTCGATAGACGGGCAGTAATTCAGTGTTGTGAAGCCATACTGCGTCCGGCGCGGCATGCCGTGCGGTTCGGAAACGGAAGCGGTGCGGCGTCGCTCGCGTGCGCTGTAATTGCCAGTGTCACTGCTGGCAGCCTCGCTAATCACCCCGTGTAGGCCGAAACGACATATGCACGACGTCCAAAGCTCAAATTACTGTTAATTCTCCATATCAAATAGAACATTTTTCTGTCAGAAAACAGACAGCTTTTCGTATAGGAAAAACGAAAAAGACAAAATGATAAACAAACCGAACGAGTACTACAGCTATAAGATGCCAAATAATGTTTAATGGATTGCTTAGTTAGACGAACGACGATCGTGTAACGCGCATCAGAATAAAATTAGGCAAAAAATATGTGGAACTCCAGGTAGCTTACGAGTAAAAAAAAATATCAAACAAGCGGATCCGTCGTTATTAACCAGCGATCAGCAAAAAGTTTTTTTAATAAGGTAAGCTTTTGGGTTTAGCAAAGGATGATGCATATGTGGTCCTTATTGCTGGCGCTAGCTGGTATATAAAATTATCCGCTCGATCCAAATTGTCTGAGATCTTAAAATACAGTGAACGTAGAATTTATTCTTTATTTTTATCTTGCATCTTGTTCGTTTTTTACGAAGTGTTGCCTAGGATAATTAGAGGAAATGAGGTTCAAAAAAAGTCCCTGCGTCACGTGCATATCTCCGGTAACTCTAGTAGGGCGCGCGCTCTTCCGACGGATGGAGATCCCTTCACGGCCGCACTCAACCCGCCACGAGAGCCTGACCTCTAGCTTCGGCTACCAAACCTCATAATATGCTCTACTGTTATTTATATGAACAAATTTAATGAATTAACTTGCTCATATAGGAAATAATGACCAGGGAGAATCGATGTTGCCCAATAATTTTAACCCTAAACGCATATAACCTTATTGAACAGTATTGACAGAAAATGTGTTTTGTTATATTATAATGTAATCGCTTTAGCACTCCTATAAGACAGTTATGCCAATATTACGAGTATGTAATGGTGCGATACTGAGTTATAAGAAAGTCACTCATGTAATAAAAGCGAACTCGGCGACGCGACTGATACAATTATTGGAAGATAGAGATGAATAAATTAGCAAGAGAATATCAAAAAAGGAGTGTGTTCGCGTTCAATTCGTCAGGGTCGATTCTACCTGAGTGTTCCTTGCACTCAACTCAATGGCGCGCCTCGGCGACGTTAATCAAAGGGAGGTGAGGCGGCGCGGTGGAGCCATATGTTCAAAATTTCTATTTATATAAGAAAGAGAAGCCCCGGTCTGGGGCATTGTGCAAGTAGGTAGGCTGGGTGAGACCCAGGTGCGCGCGCGCTTTTTGTGCGTCTTCCGGCGGCTGCGCGCGCACCTGCCGTCGCCGGCAGCTGCCGCCCGCGCCCGCGCCGCACGCGCCGGCCCACTCGCCACCACTTAACTTGCTCAGATACACTATGCTATATATACAGCCTTTCTACGACATAATGACGGCAACAAACTTCTCATACAATGTAGCGATTTAGGTTTTATAGACACGTGGCTTAGTTAGGTGTATTGAACTCTGTTTCTGTTAATCGGGTAAAATTAACGCAATAATGGGTAAATAAAAGTTGATGATTCTTTTTTAGCTTTCTGACTAAAGTCTTAGTTAATATTATAGGGAATAAAATAGTAATAGCGCCATATCGTTCCTATCCACCATCTATAGTATAGAGGGTGTCTATGTCGCCCTATCTTATAATAAGCAAGTAATAATAAGGAGTAATAAATAGGAGAAAATTTGTTTGTATTGTCTAAACCAAATGAACGTCTTTTTTTTTAGCTTTTATACTTTTTTAATCACATTTTTTAAATATCGTCCTCTTCGAAACCAAACAATGTTCCGGATAACTTATGAAATTTTATTTCAGTGAACTCAACACAATGGTTATCTTTCTAAATCGCGAAATGAACTGAACTTGAAATACTTCTGCCTCAAAATTGTTAAAATTCAAAAATCCCTGGAAATTTGTAGTGAGCCGTCGAACCGCCGAACTTTGCTACATTCATACTTTTGCTTTATTCGCACAGTTGATGTAAATGTTCATTGTTCATTTTTTATTACTGTCCAGGTAAGGTTCGCTGTGTTGCTTTCTTTGAATAAAACTTCTTTCAAAACCGAACAAAAGAGCTACGAACAGCTGATGAATTCGATGGCAAAAAATCTTGTTATTATTATATCTTTGCACATCAAAAAGAAAGGAACTCCATGCCGTTAAAGGGAAAAAATACTTCATCAGACTGAACTGAATAATAGAAGTGCAAGAAATAATTTTCAGGGATTGATAGCAAACTTGTCAAGATTTCAACAAACTAGTTGGTTTTATAACTTCAGTAAAAGTTGCGGACAAAAATTTTACCTCGCCGGCATGCACTCTGCAGTTATTAGAGAGCTTAACTTGTTTGTTCCTTGCCAACAGTGGCTATGACAAATTTTGTAATATGACAGTATGAGTATGATCAACATTATCAAAGACACTATTTTGGCAACAGTAAAACGATTTTGATTCTATGTCAAGTCATGACACACAACATTAAAATGAATGTACGGAAAAAGAAAATGGTTAAAGGTTTGTGTTCAAAATTAATTCGAAAGGAAGATTAAACTAAAGATCGGCGCGACAGCTGCTGATACATCTGCGCTTCATCCGCGTCCCCACGTGGCCCGCACCTATGATAAAAACTTATTTTCGAATAACTGTACAACAAATGGCAGATGACTGTTTTTGCTGTGGAAACTGTTGCATCTGCCTTAAGCATAGTAAATAATTCTTTCATTCTGACTTACCTCTCGCAATTCCTTGATCTTAGCACCAGCTCTGCCGATGACGCAACCAGCTCTACTCTGATGAATTAGTAGGCGGACGTCCAGATCTTCATTCCCAGTACTTCTTGGTCCTCCCTGCATAAAATGTCGATATAAGTAAAGGAATGGAATTTCAATAGAGTTATCGATAAAGAAATATTACTTACGTCAGCCAAATTAGGTAAAATTGCTTTCACGATTTCTAAAATCGTCTCGATATCGGGAGCTGTTATAGACAATACCCTGAAAAATAATAACCTTTTAATATTTGAAAATATATGGTCGAATGGAAATAGAAATGCACAACACAATATCGAACAGCAGATTTAAGATCAACGGTCAGGGAGGTCTGTTTGCCGAACACTTTTAAGCATGATGGAGGTGAATTCGTGATGTAAATAGAGAAGTACTTTCTGGAGCTCTCCATCGCGGAGGAAAACTTGAATGATAGGAATTGATTCCTTAGAAATAATATTTGCGATCAATGATGTGCCTATTTGACAACACCGAAGTGTAGAAAAGAGAACCAGTAGACGTTGAGTGTAGAACAGTGCATAACCTGCGGATTGTCGTGATGGGAAAGGGTACGAGATACGGGATGGAGCGACTAGCGCCGGGAGCTAAGGCGGCTCAAACACGATCCGACTCCTGACTGTTGACGGAATATTAAGAGCGCGTTCGGACTGTTTAATTGAGAGTAGATGTTGGCGATATAGTTTACCGTTCGGGGCCGGGGCAATCTGGGACTGTAATAGAGGCATTGAACTGCGTGGCGGGGCGGCGGGTGCGGGGCAGCGGCGTCCAGCGGGGCGGGACCGGCAACCAAACACGCTGTAGCGCCGGGACAAGAGCCACCACACACCACCAACAACTGCCCACCACGACCACACTCAACAGATTATTAAGCAAGTACAGTAATAGTAATATATGATGGACGTTACGTTACTTTGAACATGGTCGTGGCGGAGTGATGTGTAGGGGCGCAAGCCACGGTGCGCTACAAGCCACAAGGCGTCTCGGGGGCGCTAAAGACCTGTAACTGGCTGCCGGGGGGTTATTGTCTATATAGCCTACGGATTCGCCGCTGGCGCGAGACTCGCTGATCAGAGTGACCAACGAGACTTACGAGCGATGATTCATTTTCTTTCAACTATTTTTTGTATAGTGTCAAGGAAGTATGTAGAGAAAAGACAAGAAAAATACTTGAGTTTGGATCTGATTGGACTTTGATCAAGTATTTTCAATGTGCATTATCCCAATAGAGGTAACTGCAGTACGCTCTCAAAATACTCAAGTTTTTTATTACAGTGGTTGACGTACCTGTGACGAAAAAATTGTTAAGTAAATAAATTAATAATAACATCATCAAATTAATAAGTGAATATAAATGTTCTTACTACCTTGCTTACGACATTGGCTATAAACTAGAAATATTTTTTTGTAAATACAAAAGCAACAAGATTAATGGTGTGTCGAATAAACAGACATTAAAATACATAAAGATCAACTCATAATTCACTACTACAGAATACAATAAACGTCAATAACAAATGTCCGTCGATGACTACTAGTGCTACGATTAATTTGTTTGTTCATGTTTCCAATTTATGTCCGTCCTCTTTAATGTTGAGTACTGACCTCACTCCTTAATTTTGATATATTAGTGCCACCTTTCCCGATGATGGAGCCCGCCACCTGTTTAAATTATACGATTAATGAAAAACTTCTTAAGAGTATTTAATGACGCTGATATTTTTCTAGTGAAAATTAAGCAATGATTTGAATTTTTTCTTCTTTTAGATTTCAAAAACATTTTCTTTTTTAAAATCATCATCAAGATAAAACATCCTATTTCGAGTGGATATTGTTTTATGAAAAGAAAAGTGCGTAAATTTATTACTTATTAGGATGCGATTATTCACATTCGCATAGTGTCACTCTTATTAAGTTACTTATCAAGATTAAGTTATTAACATTATTTTAAGGCAAATACCATGTATCGTTAGGTACCTTGCTTGGGATGAGGAAGGTGACCTCGTCGTCAGTTTGCCGATGTCTCTTCATGGAGGGGCCGTCGTCACCGTACGCGTCCCTTTTCATTGTGCTACCTGAGGTACAAATTAACAGGGTTACTTTTAATACCATAAGGTACCCTTTGCCTCTGAAATTCAGGTAGGTTTTATAATTAGGCAAAGCATTTTGAAACAATGGGGTACTCTTTACCACTACGATTCTGGTAGGCTACATAATTAGGCGTTATTTCCTTGGAAGTGGTCCCAAAATTTTATATTATTGTTTTCTCTCATTCAAATTATCGACTTAATTTTCCTCGAAAGCACGTTAAAAGTAAAATGATATTGAATATGAACACTAAATCAATTTTAGATTTTCTCTAACACTTCTCTTACTATTAAGGAATGCTTAGATTAAATAGTGTTCCACAGAACGTTCCCCTGCTACACTGACTTTTTGAACTTGTCTTAGCTTTTCAGTTATATTTTTATCATTGCAGTCGTGATTTTAAAAATGTTACTTATTTTTTTTCGTAAAAAGGTAATTACTAACAGCATCAATTAAATCTATGGATGGGATTATACAGGACGTAATGAAAAATTATTTATAGGCCGTTGTTGCCCAACTGTGGGAACGGGAAGCAGACGGAGCTAGGAGCGCGTGTAGCCGGGAAACGAGTATCGATTTCGTTATTACCGGAAACGGATGCCAGCTCCTGTGACACTGTTCGGTGTTCAATAAAAGAGTTTAAGAATTGTTATCAGTCGAATATAAAAAGGTTGACTTGGTGTAAAAGGATTGACTTCTTGTACAGGCACTTGATGTTCAATACTGTCTTCTGGGTCATGTGACGACCACGCGTTACTTACACACGTTTTGTCATTTAGATAGAATCACCAATCATACAAGGTTGATTTTACTTGAAATTGATAGAATTAGATAGCGGCTAATTCCGGTATTTACTATAATTAACAGAATTTAAATACCGACAAAAAGTCACTTTGGTAGAGTGTAATATTTATATTCACTAAGAAATAAGTAAAAATTAATATGGGGCAGAGGAAATAGCATTTATCAATACAAAACCTTTAAATTTTGCAAAGAGATTGTCAAATTATTAACTCTATATAAGTTATGAAAATGGGTTTTGAGATAAACACTCCTCCACATCACAGTTAAATTAATGAAATACTTAAAACAAAATTATATAAATCGATATTGCTGTAATTCTAGGACAACAAACCTATAATATGGGAAAGCAGAAACATAAAAAGTTAGTTTTTTTCATTATTTTAATTGCTAATCTCTCGTATGCACTTTTATTTTGAGGGGAACATTACACGAGCTGCTTTTACGTAGAAAATATCACTACCACCAAGACCAGCTGAAAAATATGTACTAGGATTGTTTTTGGTTTTGTAAATGGATCAAATTTCGAAACACCTTACGATCGACAAGTCAAGTTACAAAACATACATGCAACATTCCAAAATATCCACGGAGCAATACGAGTTTACGTAGCTGAGCTTTTATATTTAGTCATTTAAAAAATAAGAGAAACATCGTTACCACTTCTTTGATATAATTTATCTATTAAGATAAATGAGAATAAATTATACGATTATTCTTCACAGCTTTCGACGAGACTGATAAATTAAATTAATCTAATTATAATCCACAACTATTTCATAACTTTTTGTCGAAGATTTTTTTGCACGACCAAACTTCAAATTATTTGAGGACTTCTATTATTGGCCTTCAGGATTTTAGTAAAGATTTGTTTTTTATATTTTTTCATCGCAAGCAATGAGTAAACATTAAATAAAAATTTGAACAATCTGACTTTCGTACAGTAATTTCATGAATATATTTTATGCGATTAAATTATTTTCTTATACAAATAAATATTCATGATGTCCAGTATAAAACAGTTGATCTTGTGGTGGTGTGCATTTATGTTTACACCAAATATTATCCTCGCTTTTTAAGTTTAAATGTACACATTCACCGTTGGTGATTTTAGCTAAACCTAGCTGCATAGATGTTTTTGTATAGCCTACAAGACAAAACAACAATTAATAAACATCACATAAGTCTTTAACCGGTGGTGTCAGATGTTTACGTGACGTCCCACTAATCCTTAAAAGCTTATTTTTTTCTAGATATTCTGCATCCCTTTCGATTATACCCGAAATGAGCAGAATATCCTGAAAAATTTTACATAGCTAAAATTAAGTAAATTAGCAATTTACTAATATTTATTAGAATTATTAGTCATAATTATTTTATGATTATACGCGTGGGAAAACTTAAAAAAAATGATAAGTATACAAAGATTTGTTAACGGTCATGCAGATTAGGTTTTAAAACTAACAACTAATGACGTTTGAATTAATACATAAGTTATCAATTATTACGGGGTTATTGTAAGTACGTCATAGGGTTTAGGGTAAAAATATACAATAATAAAATAAAAGCATTCAAAAGGTAAAAACGGCGATTTCTCCTTCAATTAAAAGTCGATTTTCAAAAATTTCTTTTTGTAATCGCAAGGGTGGTATACTCTCGAGATGGTCCCATATAAAAATTGTCCTAAGCTGATGAAGGACTCCGGAGATGTGGAACGGAACTCTTCGTAGGATAATAACAGAAAAGTTGTAATAAGTAATCTTGCTTTGCTAATACATGCATGTAGTTAACGGCTGCCTAACTACTAGTGAGGAAAAGCAGGCTACGGCCGACGCTACTAATTATAAAGATTAAATAGATATATCGTGTGAGGTCTTCTTTAAACGAGCCTTTTATATATATTTAGTTGATGTTACTCGGTCTTAAAAGTGGAAAAATTGGGTATGCCTTCCCAAGCAGTAAATCAAGCACCAACACCAAATGTAATTTGACTTTAAATATAAGTAAAGAATGTGTTATTGCAATTTATAGTGTTTTTGATTTTATGAAGTCGGTTTTATGGATAGATCTTCAAAAATGATATTGAGGTTTATATATTTTTTTAAACTGAATAGTTTGCGCGAGAGACACTTCCAAAGTGGTAAAATGTGTCCCCCCGTCACTTCTAAAATAAAAGAATGATATATATAAATATATGATGTCCATTACCATGCAAACTACCACCAAAAATTAGTTTGAACGAGATCTAGTAAGTAGTTTTTTTAATACGTCATAAATCGTAAACCACCATTTACCTTTCATTCAATCAACTCAAATATAAAAATTATAAAAAAAAATAGATTTCATAATTATAAATCTTGTTCATAAACCATGAACCATTATTTTCTAACTCTAACAAGAACTTTTATATTATGTTACTTGCTGCTACGGAACCCTTCATGGGCAAGTAAGTCCGACTCGCACTTGGCCGCCTTTTTATTCTTTACATATCGGTACCTTTGGTATGTGAACCAATGATCACGTTTACTTAGTTTTACATTTTTAATTTGAATAATTAGCGTTAATTATTTTATCTTTCACCAATTTCAGAGTTGTTGAACTGTTGGCGCACCAGTGATTTTTTTATATATTTATATAAAGATAAGTTATCGTATCCAAAGGGGATTCAATGTTTAATAAATATATTACTTATTTGTTAATTAACAAAGTTCTTGATTTATCTATTTATTATTATTATTTACATGATAAAAGGCAAAATATCAATTTATTATATGAAAACAACATTTTAAAAAGTTCGTTTTTTTCGTAATATAGTTTGATGTTTTTAGTAGTCATTGGCATTGGCAAGAAATATGTATAGCAAGGTATGTTAGCAGCTATCATCAGGCAGCAGGTGAGCGGGGTCAACGACACCGCAGGTGGTAGGTAGCGCTGGGCCGATTCGCAGAAAGGTGTAAAACTCAGGCCATAATACATCATAATCTGCACAACCCCAAAAACACAATGATACATTTTAAAGACCAAATTACATAACGTTCACATGTTCAATAACACAATTTATCGTTACAATATTTTGTCCTTCAACTCCCGATTTCGTACTTCCGAACAAAGAAAAGTCAACATTTTTACATGCTATTTTATTATGTTAACAATGTTTGTACGGCAAATAGATTCAGACACCTGCTTTCTTTTTGAAATAATTGTTAATAATGGAGCTCGATATACCTAAAAGCTTTTGTTAATACAGTTTCATTTTACTATTAGAAGACTATTACAAAAGTAAATGTCGTCCGCATCGAAACAGCCAGTCAAAAGAACCCGCGTCACAACGTCGCGTTCGTTCGTGACATCAAAAGCACAAGTTTTGCCATTTACCTGATGATTTTCTTTTAAATATAATTGACTCACTCATCGTTTAACAAATTAAAGGTTTAATTGGGTTCCCTTTGTAGAAAAACGTAGCTCGTTATTATTTTCGTGTAAAGCTAAATATTGGATCGAGTCAAGATCCGAGTACGTAAAACAGTCTCGTGTTTGTCTCTCATGAATAGATTAGGGGTGGAATTACTTAGGAGTGAGCCGTTTTCATCTATATGTGAAAAAGTATGTGTTACAAATGATGTTGGGCCTAATGAATGGTTCAAAACCAGTGCAATTATATTAAATTACAAATAAAATGTAGCTGCCTTGCCTGTATCAGTTATTTCTGATATAGACATTATTGAACGACTACTTACTACTATCCTATTTAAATCTACAAAAAGAAGAAAATATAAACAAAATTAAGCAGCATAACATTAATAACAATAATTTAATTAAATCCAAGAAAAAACAAAAACGAATAAAAGATTTTCTCAACACTTAGTTAAACTCAAACAATAAGGAAGAAGTATGACCAAGAAACAGGACCACTTACCAACTTATGTCTCGAGCGTTTAGGCCAAGGTTTACAAGACCTAAAACAAGAGAGGCGTCTGTTAGAGATCATAGCCGAGATTTTTCAGAATCCACTTGGTTTCTTTTTTCAGGACATACATAATAACGTGTGCTAAGAGGGGAAAGCGCGTGCTGCATTGTTTCAAAGTTTTCGTTCGCTTCGGTAGCAAGCCACGAGTGGACTGACACCGGTGCGGCTCCGTTCGGGCGTTAGTACGCCGCCCGCCCCCGAGACTCCGGGGCGCCGGCGGCGCACATGCGCACCACTGTCCGCCCCGTCGATAACACCCTGCTCTCATAGTGCCCCGGAAACGAACACTTAACTGGTCACACCGCGAGACGACACCCTGTTCTTAAGCCTAAGTCAGCCTAGACAGCATGTCAACATACTACCAATTTAGCTCATCCGCGAAACCGCGATCCCTGTACATAAGCGCACGATAGCCAAGGCGGGTGGTGGTTTCATCCACAGCGGGTGGTCCCCGCCCATATAAAACAAAAAGCGAATACCACTATTTAAGGAAGATAAAAAAATTGAATCAATAACGACGGTCGAAGTACATACATAAAACAACATCGAATTCACGTGTTAGCATCAATTATTAAAGTGTGGTGGGAGCAGGTATCTCCTACTTATATATCAACTTCACAGACACAGCATTAGCGAAGCTTTTGATTGTATTTGTGTACCCCAAGTCACAACCTAGATAAATATTACATAAGGATATCCAAAACATCTTTTTTAAAATAGGAGATTTTAAAAGAAAGATATTTAGATTTGTGTGGGAATACAGAGTAAAATTACATGAGAAAAATAAAAAGAAGAATTTATTAGAGATATTTAAATAGGTTAAATGGTTAAAAGGGGTAGCACTAGCACTTATGGCATTATGGATCCTTTTTCTTCACCTTCTTTACCATAGGCATCATATCAATCAAAACATTCATACAAAGATAGACAGAAGCTTGAAATTCATATTATATAAACATTATGGGAACTATGCTTCTAAACCCTATAAAGAACTTGCCCTGAATCGATCAGAATGTTGGCTTTGTGGTTGGGTGGCAAAGCCGGTGCGATGTTCAGATGTTTGTGTGAAGTAAAGAGAATGGGCAATGAGAAAAATTTGTAATTGGGAGGGATTAAATTCGCATTAGGGATTCAGGGACAGAAATAATGAAAGTTAACAAAGATTTTTATCGTGGTATGGATTATGAAGACATAATGATTAGTGTCGAAAAAGGTGAAGAGCATAAATCTAAATGGGTAGCTATAAGAAGAGATGGACAGATTTTGGGGAAAATCATGTGGCAAAGAAATGAGTTAATGAGGAGATAATTGGTGATCGAGAAATAGAGAAGAAAATTAATATATGCAGACCACAAATATACATGAAAGCGTCAGTCGATAAAAACAGATCAAAAACAGTGCGTTATCAATGAATCGTTAAATTCCATTACATTAAGTACTTAAATGATATATTTTAGAACTTTCACTAGTCCAAACAATTCGGTTAAATAGATACTACATTTCATTTCCGATAAAATTTTTACTAAACTCTGTATTGAGTTCAGTCCTAATTATCGTAGAACGTTATCATTACCAAATCTCTATAACGTAATGCGTACCAAAACTGTGTAACAAATTGTTAGTGTCAGAAAGTAAATAATAAAATATATAACCATCTGTAGTGAAGCGAGGCGTTTGCATGCGACTCAGTCGTTAGTTGTCGATAACGTCCACCTTCAAGACCACTTAACAAATTGACTACAATAACTGATTGATGGTCGAAATGTCGAATCAGTTGTCATTAGAGAAAAGGAAGAGAAACACTGCCTGATCTTAAAAACCTGAGCCCAATTCTTTACAAATTTGAGGTGAGAAACCTCAAACAAAGTACCTACCTACCCCAGAATTTTACATGAACCTTCTTATAATAATCTAAAGAATATGTTAGGAACTAAATATAGATAGTGAGCTATTTCTGTAACGATGTTGAAACTCATAACTTTTTTAGGAATATAATAAACTGACTTTCATTTGCACTGATTAATTTCTAAGTGAAGTTATTCGATTATTAAAACTTACATTCTTTCAGATTATCAAAAGATCAAATATTACATTACCTAAATAATGACCATAACGATCAGAAACGATTGTTTCATTGAAATTTCCATATAAATAAGTACACAGGCAGGGGGCCCGCTGACACGATTCCTATTGTTGTATGTATTTTGTGTTTGTCAATAGCTAATAGTCGGCCGATGAGGCGACATCGAAGACAATCGTTACCTAGGCGACGCGACAACAACAAAAATGCGCACTATCATAATAATAATATGACTTAAGCTATTAACAGACGTTCCGATTTGGTTGGTGCCAACCACCCGACCACGACCAAAACGGAAAGTGTGGAGAGCGGTCGGTCCAACATAATTATTATTATTATTGGTTGGACGTGGTCGGATCGCCAACGCATCCGACAAGCCGACCGTCCAACCAAATTGGAACGTATGGAAGCTACGTTCCGACCAAATCGACTCAATCGCACTCGCTACGCCGGCGTTGTAGGACGTCAACATGAACGCCGAGGGAGTGACGGTCACCGAACGTGACATATTAATAAAGTTACTAGAACTTTATAAAGACTTTCCCTGTTTGTGGGACTTAAGTCACAAAGATTACGCCAATAGAGATGCCAGAAATCAAGCGTATTTGATAATGCTGAACGTTTTTAAAAAAAATGACAGTGCAGCTACTTTGAAAACGTTGAAAACTAAGTTGGACAATATGCGTACATCCTATAAGAGGGAGCGAAAAAAGGTAAGCAAATTCAAGTCTAATAATCTGTTGTGTATATAAATAAATAATGTGTAAGTTGTGAGTATTTTTGTAAGTTGTTACATATTTATAATACATTGTTGTAAGTATGTTACATATTTATAATTATTAATATTTGTGTCTTCAATACATACTTTTGTTGTACTTATTCTCTTTTCCTTATTTATTTATATATTTCATTTTTAACTACCTTACAATGCTTTCGGTTTTTATTCTCAAGGTTGACTGGGAGAGAATGCTTTTAGCATTAAGTCCACCTACTGTTAGCTCTACGGGCTCGAAAAGTTAAATAAAAAATAAAATAAATAAATAAATAAAAATTACGTTACATTAAATACATGTATTTAATGTGACGTAATTTTTTCATTTCATAATGATATGACTGCTAAAGGATTTCGCCCCTTCCCTCTACCTGCTTCTACAGTTCAAGTGACATAGCGGTATAATTGCTACATCAAGTCATGTTTTGACAATATTTATTAACAAGTAAAAAAAAATTACATATTCAAAGTACTTCATTGAAGAAATAACACAACTATGGGTTTCAATAAACTCTAGGATATTGTACATATTTTTAGGTGGAAGCTAGCAAGACTAGTGGTGCTGGAAACGATGAAGTGCATTTGCCATCACTATGGTACTACGAACATCTCTCATTCTTGGACGAAAAAACCACACCGACGACAGAGGTTATTGACAATATGGATACGAATTCTTCCCTGTCAAATAATGATGGGGTAAGCTTTAAATATTTAAAGTATTAATCATTCTTTCTTGAAAATGTACCCGGCCCTGATTGTTAAAATATTCAGTGAATATTTGTCTAACAGAATTACCATCAGCAGTACGTTGCCTTTCTGTTCTGTTAAGACTTACTGAGTTGTCATTTAATCTCCAGTCTCCTGGCCGAAAAGTACATGTTTCAGTATCCTCGGTATCAACACAATTTCTTGTTATATAGTTCGATGACTTTTTTCTTAAATAATTGTGCAGTGCGCATGAAGCCATTACAACTTTGGGTACATTATGAACATTAATTTGAATTGGTCTTTTTAATACTCTAAAACGTTCAGCTAAAATGCCAAATGCATTTTCGACAATTCTTCTTGCTCTGGAAAGTCTATAATTGAAAATTCTTTGATCATGTGTCAAATTTCTTCTTGGATATGGTTTTAAAACATTTTCATTAATGGCAAATGCATTATCTGCTACAAAACAATATGGGGCGTTAACATTTGTTTCCGGTAAAATAGAAGGTGATGGTAAATTTAGTTGTTTCGATATCAATTTTTCATGAAAAGTTGTATGTTTGAATATTCCACCATCAGAAATACTGCCATTAGAACCTACATTTACATAAATAAACTCGTAATTTGCATTCACAATACCAAGCAGGACTACACTGAAAGTTCCTTTATAATTATAGTACAATGTACCCGATTTTGGCGGCTTCTCGATAATAACATGTTTGCCGTCAATAGCACCCAAGCAATGATTAAATTGCCATTTTGTTTCAAAGTCTTTAGCTATTTGTAACCAGTCATTTTCTGTTTCAGGAACCTGCAACAAAAAGAGAACGCGTTACGAGAAAAAAGCAAAATGATATTTTAAAGAAACAGTCGGAATTACTAGAGTCTGCAAAAATATTAATATCAGGCGACGGCACATCAGCTGATGCTTTTGGGAACTCCGTGAGCTCTCAACTCAAGGAGCTCCCAAAAATACAAAGATGCCTAGCCGAAAAATTAATAGGCGAAGTATTGTTCTATGCAAAACTAGAAATCCTTACTTTTGAAACATCAATAAATGTAAAAAGAAGTTCAGAACAATCTTTTGGTCAGCGGTATGCGTATCAGCAGCAGGTGCCAAAACCATCACTAGCACCATCATCACAGCATCACCAGCCATCACCATATGTACCATCACCAACACCATCACCATCATCACAGCATCACCAGCCATCACCATATGTACCATCACCAACACCATCACCATCACCACAGCATCACCAGCCGTCACCATATGCACCATCACCAACACCATCACCACAGCATCGTCAGCCATCACCATATCAATCGTCACCATCACCATCACCACAGCATCGTCAGCCATCACCATATCAATCGTCACCATCACCATCACCACAGCATTACCAGCCGTCACCATATGCACCATCACCAACACCATCACCACAGCATCGTCAGCCATCACCATCACCTAAGTACTCACATACAGCACAATCTCAACCGTCACTTCAACACAGTCAGCCATCACCATCAACATTACCTCAGCTTCCACCATCATCACACTCGTACCAACACATAGTGTCCCCTCAGCTTACATCGGATGACTCATCTTCACAACTAATCTATGATTTGCCACCAATCCCATTAGATTCCACTTCATTGATTAATGACTACCCAAACACTTCTTTTGAATTAAGCAGCAATCAACAACAAGTATTCAGAGGAAAGGCGAAGGAATTAAACAAATATTTGATTTTTAAAAAGTAATTTTTCGAATTGATATTCGTAGGTATTTTTTCATTTTCATTTTTATGATTTCGAAAGTAAGGATACACCCAACAAATAATACATTAAATTTTTTATACTTGCTAACAGAATCACCATCGTCATGTTTGTTACTATAGAAAAAAAAATATAATTTTTTTAAATAATTAAAGTTGTTTTATTGAATACATACCTTTAGGTAATCGTTGAGTACTCTAATGATAGCTTCGCAGGTCTCTGGTATTATCTCAGACAGTAGTTGTGGTGATATACATGTGCTTAATTTAAGATCTTTATATTCTCTTCCTGACGCGAGATATTTTAAAGTTGCCACTAATCTTTCTTCGGCAGTTACAGCTCGCCTCATAACTGTATCGGTTTTCGTTATATATTTTTTCACAAAATTTAATATTTCAACGAATGATTCTGGAGTCATTCGAAGATATGTTCGGAAATCTTCATCATCCAATTCCTTAAGGAGCCGCATATGGCTGTAATATTCTCTATTCCTATAATAGAATTTAGCCCATTCGCTTCGTTTTTTCCTTTGTTCCTTTTGTAGCGGTGATGTAGCAGCAATGGTTGCTGCAACCAACGCTATTTTAGCATTTTTAGATAATACCGGTGGCATGATGTTTATGCATCGACGATCGACGGCATCAGGTGGCAAGACGTCCGTTCACTACTTCATAGCAAAGTAAACTGACGGTTGGAAGGCCGACCGTCGGAACGTCTATAGCAATGTTGGAATGGTTGGTACATCGGTTCCAATTTGGTTGGCACCAACCAAATCGGAATGTCTGTTAATAGCTTTAGGATTATGTAACAATCATCTACGTCACCCTCGCCCTACATGATTATGATTATAATTATATTATGATTATTATTAGTACCTATTCAATTTACTTTAAAAGAATAATATAAGCTTCAATAAATAACATTAATTATCGACCGGATCATTCTCCATTTCATCAATAGCTTTTTGCCTATTAAAATGCGTGTAACTAATAATTTATAGTTATGATTATATTTATATAGTTATAATAATTTATAGTGAAATACCATGATGAAAATAACATATTTTTAACGATTTTTTTACCGATTTTTATGTTACAACAGTGGTTCTTAAACTTTTTTAAATCACAGACCGCTTTCAGAACTCCTTTAACATCCAAGGACTGTTAAACAATCATTTAGCAAAAGAAAACAATCCTATTATCAATAACTAAACTACACATACGACGACGCTCAGAGACGTCAGTTATTTTTTTAATGCAATGCCATCCAATTGGCTATTGACTGTCAATGCAAGGATTTGGCCGAATTTGCTGGAGAAGTAGAAAAAATGCCTGTATAGAAGGAATATTAATTTCTTTTTATAAAGACAGAAGTTAATTTAGGAGAAAGGCGGTCTTACAGTTTAACTAGCAGCTATCATGGGAGTCGTCATGTGTGGGGGGAGAAATAATACTCAGACAGGGACGTGGGAATCGCCATCTTGCTTGATAGATAATTATATTGCGCTGACCTAATTATTCTAGAAAGGTTTCCTTTCCAAGGAGTATCATTTAAAACGAATAAAATTGTAGAAGTTGTGGCGGTTAATACGCGGCCTGTAATTTTCCCTACACCATCTGCTGAAATATTCAGCGAGCTATGAGAACGCAAAGAGCGCACGCCATCCGTCTTCAAAGTGATCGGGTGGGGCTGGGGTGTCTTCAGGGCTCAGGCATACATATGATGTACCACCACAACCCACAAGGGAACAGGCAGCTGACAAATGAGATTTTTTTATTTATATTATTGCGAGTAGTATTTAAAAAATTCAGTATAACATGGGACATAAGTATGGGTGTAATGTATGCATGAAGACTATCAACCGGTCTTATGCATATCGATTATCTAACTCTCGTAATAAATGACCTCATGAGTCATGCCCGGGAAAGCAAGGCAACCTAATCGTTTTTCCCTGCGCACAGCATCACCTTACGTAAGGAGAGCCAGTACCTCTGGAAATTCATAAGCTCTCTTGACAGCATTTTAATAGATGTAAGAAGCACTTTTAACGAGATGAAGGCCATCCAACTTTCATAAATACACACACGAGAAATTAAAACGGGTCGGTTCAAAGCCCTTGTAATGTTTGTATTGTGTATTAAAATTGAATTATGATATTTTCAAAACCATCGTTTTTAAATTTAATATTATGTCATTATTTTTTTACTTGAAGTAATTAACAGCTATATTTATGAATCTTGAAACAATCCTGCCCTTGTAATCCTGTCTGATGATACCTGGACCGCGTGAAACTTAATATAGGTGGGATGGGATAATTTGCTGATCACATAAAAAAATGAATCAAGTCAGCCGTCCAAAGGGTAGGCCTGTGCCCCATTATAGTATATTATTAGACATAGTATGGTACCTTTCTGACGCTGAGTTAATCGAATGAAGCGAAAAATGGGTAAATGGATCGCTCCTTTCTTTGCCTACCCTACCTGGGACGAGACGAGACACGGTGTGAAGATAGATGATGTTCAGAGAAACGTGTAATTGCCAGTGACAGTTGGTTAAATGAAATTACGTAACAACATTCTTCTTCTATATTGCCTTCGAATACAGACGATGAATGGGCCACCTGATGTTAAGTGGTCACCGTCACCCATGGGCCAAGGGACATCAGCAAAGTCAGTGACATAGCCGTGCCGCCGTTCGAGGAATACTCAATTGAAGCCTCTCTTGAGGAGGACCATGTTATAGTGCTGAGGGAACACCGTGGAGGAGAGGTCATTCCATAATTTTATAGTCCGTGAAATAAAAGATTTTTGGAAACGAACAGTTGTGGACTTCTGCATTTTTAGGTAATATCACGGTAATAATAGATAATATTACCGTGGTAATATGGATGCTAGACTCCGGTGACGGGTGGTGCGGGGTAAAACGGTGCTATGGGTATTAACTGGAACAATTTCTCGGAGCACTCAATATGAAAGAGCCTGTAGAATACGCATAGCAACCAAAGTCCTTACGCAGTTTTAGCTACAAATTTTTCGCTAGCTTTTTTGAGATCATCGAAAAACCCGAATCGCGGGTCTTTGTAAAGAATCGAGGGGATGTACGCATGTTAGAAACGTATTGTTTGTTTCCTCATTACATAACCAAGTAATGAGTTTAATTCATTATAATAACTATTTTTATTTTAGCTCTGCTAATACAACTGCTACAGCAACTTTTATTCAGTGTTGTTGATTATAAAATAATAAATACTGCTTGATGATGAAATGTTGCTTAAACGGTTTCAAACACACTGCAACAAGCTTAATCTTATTTAATGCGCATTTTTTTAAGAAAAAGCAACATTAAGACTCAAAACCCATGACAACAAACATGAATACAATCTGAGTTACTAGTTGTGTTGACACAGACACTTTTAGAATATATACTTTTCATGTAATTTGGATTCAAGTAAACTAAAGGTATTATTTCTTAATTTTTCACTTTCTACAAGTCAGAGCATGAGCAGCATTTATGAGGATAAGTATTTTTCTAATCTTTTATAAGATAAAATTACTTGATAAAAAGCCAATAGTGGTTATTTTTCACGCACGGGGGCGCGCGTGACCCGCCCGCCCCTCTCCCAAGATAATGCGCAACGAGCCATGAAAACATTACAACCTTACTTACGACCTTAACCAGCTAATACGTGCTACCATTTACAACCCCATAACAAATCTCAACATATGAAGGCTCATGTTTCTAATATGCTATATGATACTGTACAATAATAAATATCTTATTAGGACAATAGGTAACAGGGTGGTCAATTGAGGAAATATCATTTCTAAAATTAAACAATTATGCAAGAATTGTTTTAGTAATTAGGGAAAATACACATATCTCTCAAATACATAATTAGAAAAAGAGGGTAAGTTCAGAGTTCCACGTTCGCCCCTTGTGGCTTTTCAGACAACGGTTATCCATTCCGTTTCCTCATGGGCAGGCGAACTGCGTGAATATTTGATGCTTCTATCGATCATAACTTCTTTGCGACGCTCTACCGGGCGCGCAGGGCGGTCCGCCTAATGTCAGTAGCCCAGGCAGGTAACTGCTTTGGGGCTCAAACGGACGGGACGCTCAATATCTCACGATTAGCTTGTGTTATTACAATTAAATGATTATGAATCTGAACACAATCTTGCTTCTGAATAATCTCAAGGAACTATCTCCACCATGAATGTAAGAAGGAAGGATGGCAATTTCAAATAACCAGGACTGTCCGATTTTATTTTAAGGTCTAACATTACTAACAAAAGGAATTTACAATGAAGCATTTATCTTTGTAATAAGGCTATCTTCATGACTTATGAAGATGACAGGGAAAACATCAGACGTATGTTTCGTGAGTGTAATTGGAGAGGCAAGGAGGCGTGCCACACGACACGCCACAGGCTAGGTGGCTCCGCAGTCGGGCGGGAGACATCTTGTATGTATTTGCTCCTCTAGTAATTTCCCCGTTCGTCCTTGTATATTTAAGCGGCAGAGTCGGCGTCGTTCGTACCGTTCTCATGCATATGTCATGAGCAGTTGCCGTGCGACGGTTTGTTGACGGTCGAGCCGCGGGAACCGCGACCACCAGCCCTCCGCCCACCACCGTCGCCACCACCAATAATTATTACGTTCCACTTTCAATTCCGGTGGCTATTGGCACCACCTCACCCGCTGCTGGCCACCCACCGTGCCCGGTCGACCGCTGCGTCCGAGGGATGAGGCGACAATTACGGTTCCCGTATTTCTCCGATAGCTACCATTATAATAGCCATGTGGTGTGTATTGCATGTATACTCAAATTAAATGGTGGACACCGTAAAAGCAGTTTAAGTCCAATGCACGCACGCGAAGGCAATAAATAACGCGCTTCTATTTAATGTCCCCATAGACTTCCATCACTAACGAACATTATTGTTAACCGACTTAAAAAATAGGTTATCATATTGACCCGTTACTTGTAATTGTGTTATTGGAATTATATAATCTTCGTATTTATTTCAAGACTTCAAGTATATGTCATATTTTGTATGTCGATAAGAATTCAATAACTTTAAATATATGAATGAGTATTCTAATAATATAAGCACTTGATAAAATTATAAAATTCAGGAAATAATTTAAAGTTATTTCTAGTCAGTATGACTAGCAAAATACAAGCTTATTTCATTTCATTCTTATACGAACTGTAAAATAATGAAGATAAAGAAGTATGAAAGCTAAGATGGGAGAAACGATGGCACTTAGAGCACACGGTAAAGTTGTGCCACTTATCTTACACAATACACTATCCAAGTGGACCTAAGATCTACTATCTTATTATAACTATGTTCTTGCACCGGTTTCGCAAGCATTTTAGGCTATGGTGACAGACGCCAAAGCGAACGATATGTTCGATGGTTTTAAGTAAAACGTTCTACCATATAGCGAAGCCACAGTTTCAAAAACTCAGGTGAAGCGTGGATCTACTTCTTTCAAAGCAGTCATTTGTCAAATTAT